GTGTGTGTGTGTGCGCGCGCGCACGCTGCTGTGTTGCGCAACCAGCTCATCCATCTGTTCTGAGTCTGAAAATATTAACTTTGCGCACGAGTTTATTACCGTAATTACTGTAAACACAGAGGAACTTAAATGTTTGGTAGAACATTGATATTAGTTTATTTCATAGCTGATATGAAGAAACGAGTCTCTGCATCTCAGTAGAGTTCACATGACCTGACGTGATGCTGGAGAGTCTCCACAAACGCTGCGCACCGCAGTCTTTGTGCGCAGTCTGTCTGTCTGTCCAGATTTTGCTCTCCTACTTACAGCATTTTCACAAGTTGTAAAGTGTACTTCCACGTGTCATTTTGGAGAAATCTACAACAACGTAAACACAAAGTATGAAACACCTCCACTGCAGGCGAGGGTGCGCACGCTCCAGAGCGCGACCATAACTCAGCTTTTAGAATCAGATGGATGAGACGATTCCACTGGTCATGATTCAGCTTTGGGTGGACTGGACTGAGTCCTGATGGGTCTGCCAGCTCCCTCTGGAAAGCTCCTGTGGAACCCAGTTCAATCGCTGCTGCTGCACGTGCACACGTGGCGCACGCAGCTACTCGCTGCGTCGCGCTCCCAAAGCTCAGCAGTGCCAAACTAAAAATGATTTTTTTCCTCAAAACGGCTGATGAGCCACTCGTCATCAGAAAATTCTATATGTTTATAAATAAATGTGTGTTACACTATTTATTATATCCTCCAGTAAGGCTGAATCCGTTCCTGTTAAATGTATTTTTGGCACAACTTTGCGTGTCCTTCATTTAACTGCGTCCATGTGGATGTAATAAGTGTTAATCATGTGGATGTAATACTTGTTAATCATGTGGATGTAATACTTGTTAATCATGTGGATGTAATAATTGTTAATCATGTGGATGTAATACTTGTTAATCATGTGGATGTAATAATTGTTAATCATGTGGATGTGATATTGTTAATCATGTGGATGTAATAATTGTTAATCATGTGGATGTAATAGTTGTTAATCATGTGGATGTAATAATTGTTAATCATGTGGATGTAATAGTTGTTAATCATGTGGATGTAATAATTCTTTAATAGTTGTTAATCATGTGGATGTAATAGTTGTTAATCATGTGGATGTAATAGTTGTTAATCATGTGGATGTAATAATTGTTAATCATGTGGATGTAATAGTTGTTAATCATGTGGATGTAATAATTGTTTAATAGTTGTTAATCATGTGGATGTAATAATTGTTAATCATGTGGA